ATCCCGGGGAAGGCGGGGATGAGGACCAGGACACCAGAAAGAGAGGCGGTGGCTGGGGGCCTAGACTCCAATATCAGAGAGGAGGGTCCTCAGGGGGTGCCCACATAAGGTGACCTCTAATTCCCGCCTTTCCCCAGATGAGATCGAGATGCTGGAGCGTCTGTGGCTCTCTGGGATCTGCCACAATGACAAAATCGAGGTGATGAGCAGCAAGCTGGACATCGACAACATGGCAGGTGTCTTCTACATGCTTCTGGTGGCCATGGGCCTCTCCCTGCTGGTCTTCGCCTGGGAGCACCTGGTGTACTGGCGCCTACGGCACTGCTTGGGGCCCACCCACCGCATGGACTTCCTGCTGGCCTTCTCCAGGGTACTGGGGAGACGGGGAGAGATGGGGAGAAACTGGCAGGGGTGCCTAGGGAGGCAAGGGACCTGGGTGGAGGTGCGGGAGAGGAGGGAGGGGCGCGGAAGGCAGGTGGTCCCGGACCTCGCGCGCTAACCCCCGCCTCTTCCACGGCCCCCGCAGGGCATGTACAGTTGCTGCAGCGCCGAGGCCGCCCCGCCGCCCACCAAGAACCCGCCGCCGCCACAGCCACTGCCCAGCCCAGCGTACCCGGCGGCGCGGCCCGCGCCAGGCCCCGCGCCCTTCGTGCCCCGTGAGCGCGCCGCCGTGGACCGCTGGCGCCGCGCCAAAGCCGCGGGGCCCCCCGGAGGCGCGGGCCTGGCTGATGGCTTCCATCGATACTACGGCCCCATCGAGCCGCAGGGCCTGGGCGTGGGCGAGGCACGCGCGGCGCCCCGGGGCGCGGCCGCTCGCCCGCTGTCCCCTCCCACCGCACAGCCCCCGCAGAAGCCTCCGCCCTCCTACTTCGCCATCGTGCGCGACAAGGAGCCGACCGAGCCCCCAGCCGGTGCCTTCCCCGGCTTCCCGTCGCCGCCCGCGCCCCCCGCCGCCGCGGCCACCGCCGTCGGGCCGCCGCTCTGCCGCCTGGCCTACGAGGACGAGAGCCCGCCGGCGCCCGCACGCTGGCCGCGCTCCGACCCCGAGAGCCAGCCCCTGCTGGGGACCGGCACAAGTGGCGCGGGAGGCGCGGGCGGCGGGGCCCAGGCCGCGCCTCCACCGTGCCGCGCCGCGCCGCCCCCCTGCCCGTACCTTGACCTCGAGCCGTCGCCGTCGGACTCGGAGGACTCGGAGAGCCTGGGCGGCGCGTCGCTGGGCGGCCTGGAGCCCTGGTGGTTCGCCGACTTCCCCTACCCGTATGCCGAGCGCCTGGGGCCGCCGCCGGGCCGCTACTGGTCGGTCGACAAGCTCGGGGGCTGGCGCGCCGGCAGCTGGGACTACCTGCCCCCGCGCAGCGGCCCGGCCGCCTGGCACTGCCGCCACTGCGCTAGCCTGGAGCTGCTGCCGCCGCCGCGCCACCTCAGCTGCTCGCACGACGGCCTGGACGGCGGCTGGTGGGCGCCCCCGCCTCCGCCCCCTCCCTGGGCCGCGGGGCCCCCGCCCCGGCGCCGGGCCCGTTGCGGATGCCCACGACCGCATCCGCACCGCCCTCGAGCCTCGCACCGCGCCCCCGCCGCCCCCGCCCCGCACCATCACCGGCACCGGCGCGCCGCGGGGGCCTGGGACCTCCCGCCGCCCGCGCCCACCTCGCGCTCGCTGGAGGACCTCAGCTCGTGTCCCCGCGCTGCCCCCGCACGCCGGCTCACCGGGCCCTCCCGCCACGCGCGCAGGTGCCCGCACGCTGCGCACTGGGGGCCGCCGCTGCCCCCCGCGTCCCACCGGAGACACCGGGGCGGGGACCTGGGGACCCGCCGGGGCTCGGCACACTTCTCCAGCCTCGAGTCCGAGGTATGACGCTGCCCCTGGAGTCCCACCGCCCCCTCGGTCAGCGCAGGCCACGGCTCGAGGGGGCATGAGCAGTGGACAGGACCCTCGTGGGGAGGGAAGGAAAAACGTGGAACACGCTGGACCTCGCCTGGAGCAGTGTCCTGCGCCCCCTTGCTTTGGGGGCACCGCGGGGGATTTGGTCCCCCAAATCTCACCCAGCCTGAGAGCGAGAGGGCGGGGGTCTTGGAGCCCACAGGACTTTTTTTTAAACCCGACAAGGGCTTTTTAACGTCACCAGATAGGGCGGGAGGTGTGGGGGGGTCACACCCCACCCCCACGCCTGGGGCCGTGGCCCCCACATCACTGTGCAGCTCCCCGGCCCCAGCCACGCCCCCGGGGAAGCCAGTTTTTAACCTTTCATCCATCTGGACTCAAAACTGTGAGACGCGTTCGCCAAACTGTGACCATAGACCTTGGCCCCGCCATACAAAAATCCCTGACCCCAGACTGTGACTTCCGACCCTCACAAATGGTCATCCGACCCCAGACTGTGACCCCTGACCCCAAACTGTGACCCGAATTCCAGACTTTGCCCCGACCAGACTGACCCTTGACGTTAAACTGGGACACCACCTCCTTTTCCACCTTTGGTTGCTTTTCCCTATTTTGACCAAGGACACGCCCCCCAACGGAAGCCCCGCCTCCCCCGCCCCAACCTCCAGGGCCCAAAACTTCCCACCCTGTCGCACCTCACTACCAGCCCCAGGTGCCACCAAACACATCCTCTCCAACTCCAACCCTTATTTGTGACCCTCCAGAAATGACCCAGCAGACCCCTCCCCCCAAAGCCTCCTCTTCCCAGATCTCCAGCAGGGTCTGGAGCTGGGTTGTGGAGGGGAGGGTCTGGGAATCTCCACTCACCACCAACCTCCCTTCCCACTTTCTTGTTCCACATTGCAGTGTTTGGAATAAACCATGTTTTTATGCCTCGTCAGTCCAAGTGTGAGCTCCGTGCCTGTCTCTTAGCACCCCCCCCGCACCCCCCCAAAAAAACAAAAAACTTCTCTGGAAGAAATTGAAATTGAGAGAAGTCCCACAGAGAAAGAGAGGCAGAAAGAGAACTAGAGCGAGAACAGAGACCCTGGAGGGAGGTGGGAGACAAAAACCCAGAAAAAGGAGGTGAAAAAGGACTCTAAGAAGAGAGAGGCTGAGAGGGGTCAGGGGCACGACAGAGACCTAGAGATACTGGGACAGAGAACTCAAGAAAGATCCAGGATCAAAACATTTTAGGATCAAGTCTAGGGTCCCATTTCTATGGCTACAGGCAACGAGGCTTGCTAGATTCTTAATATCCTGTTCATGCAAGCGAAGAGTGTCTATTATATTACAGCCAATCCACATATTTTGAATATCATTAATCTCACCAATGAGAATCTATTTCTAACATTTCATTATGCCAATTAGCCAAACCTCTGGTGCTGATGGGCCATAAAAAGAGTTGAAGCACTTGTAATAGCTGCCTCCAGAGGGTGGACTTTCTGATTAAGTGCTCGCTGACCACAGCTGCAATGTGAAGTCCTGGTTAGGCAATTGACTGCCCCGAGAGGGTACACTGAACCGACTAACTTACACGTAACATCATTCTGTTTACACAAAGCATTTTGAAGTAAATTAAAGCCATCATCAAAAGAAGGAAAGATGAAACAGACTTTATGGATCCTCAGGGAGCAGACCCAAGCTCCTTGCCAGTAAGAGCTCTTATTTGCATACATGAATAATCAATTAAGTGGAAAGAAGCGCAGGGAGTCAAAGGTGGAATACAGAGTCGAGGCTCCGAACTCCTTTAGTTGCTAGGGATCACAGGCCTCCCATAGAACTACAGCTCCCAGGAGGCCTTGCCACAGTTCCGTGGAAAAGCGCCCCAAAGTCACGCGGAGGGTGTAGTTTCTCCAGAACCGCTGCAGGCCTAGGTAGCTAAGCCAGGACGCCGTTACCTTAGTTCTCCTTCCTCATCCCCACCGCCCTCTCTAATTGGTGAACTAGGAGGTTTCCAGGGTAACAGAGCAGCCGGGCTAATCAGGGTGGGCAAAGCGCAACCCGGAAGTGACGCTCTTACCTCGCGCCGGGGGTGCAAGCCTTCGAAAATGGCGGCGCGCAAGCCTGGGCGGCGCACGTGGGAAACTGAGGAACCCATGGAGGCCGAGTCCCGTGATATAGGGTCTGAGGGTGTCGCCCAGGTCTACCTGCCCGGCCGGGGACCTCCACTGCGCGAAGGAGAGGAACTGGTCATGGACGAGGAGGCCTACGTGCTGTACCACCGAGCTCAGACTGGTAGGGCTGGGCACCCAGACTCCTGGGTCCTGACGAAGTTGGGGACTGGAATCCTGGGTCCTGAGGGGCCCAAGTCCTGAGCCTTTAACTTAAGAGGCGTTCTGAAAGGGAAACTGGGGTCTAAGAGGAGTGACATCACACTGGAGGGGGCTGAGATCCAGCTGTCCCATCCTAATTTTCCAACTCCTCTTCCCTCCCCAGGCGCTCCGTGTCTCAGCTTTGACATAGTCCGGGATCACCTGGGAGACAATCGGACAGAGCTTCCTCTTACACTTTACCTGTGTGCTGGGACCCAGGCGGAGAGCGCCCAGAGCAACAGGTTAGTGAGACCTGAGGCTTTCCCAGGACCAGGAGTCCAAGTCCCCAACCTCAAGATCTAGGACTCTGAGCCTCTAGCCCCCCCTACCCCAGGACCTAGAAGGTAGGGCTTCCAGCTTCTGCCTCCCTCAGACCAAAAAATTGGTGTTTCCAGCCTCCCTTTTCCTTAAGTATCCTGGCATCCAGCGCCTTAGTCACATCACACTTTTCCCAGATTAATGATGCTTCGGATGCACAATCTTCATGGGACAAAGCCCCCACCATCAGAGGGCAGCGATGAAGAGGAGGAGGAGGATGAAGAGGATGAAGAGGATCGGAAGCCTCAGCTGGAGCTGGCCATGGTGCCCCACTACGGTGGCATCAACCGAGTTCGGGTGGGTAACTAGAGCCCTGGGAACCTGCTCTACATTCTCTCTATATTCACACCACCAACCCCCACCCATCATGTCCACACCGTCACCTCTTCATTCCCTTCAGCTTTCGTGAAGGCATCAGGTACATAATTTTATATATTAGTTGTCTCTAGGTGCTAGGGGCTATGGGGATTTCATTTTTCATGTTTTATACTTTTAATTTCCATTGTCTTTTGAAAATTAGCTAATGATAGTACATGAGTATAGCTGCATTTAGGGATCAGTGCAAATCAGCTTCAAGTTTGAAAAGAATTTAGATTAACTTTACCATCCTTTATCAAACAAAATTCTACTTATGGCATTCACTTAAGAAACAGTTGTCTAAGAAGAAGTGGCTTTACATCATCCATCTTGATAGTTTCAAAACAAAGAACAAAGTTAACTGGTGAAATATCAATATTCATTTCTTTAAAGGATTTTTAATTCTTCATAGTTTCAAATTTGCCTACTACATAAATAATCTATACAGAAGCTTTTTTGTAAACTTAGAAGAGTCTTATGTAATTCTTTAATTTTTCTTTTTTTAAAGATTTTATTGGGGAAGGGGAACAGACAAGTTGCTGTCCTTTTGTTCTTCAGTCTAGTTGTGGAGGATGTCGCTTTACTGGCCCATGTTGGTATTGTCATTGCGCTCTTCCTGGATGAGGCAGTCGCTTGCCAGTCATTGGACGGCCGGTCACTGCAGCTCACGGCAGCTCATGCCGGCTGCCAGTAGCTCATGGCAGCCCACTGCAGCAGGGGTACGCCATTGCCTCACAGCAGTCCAGCTCCATGTGTAGCTATCTTAGCTGTAGAGGGCACAATGTCACTGGCATCCAAACCGGGGCCCTGCTGCTCAGAGCTGGCGCTCCAAGCCAACTCTTTTTTTTTTTTTTTTAAGATTTTCTTGGGTAATTGGGGGAGGAGAACAGACAGGTTGGTCCTTTTGTTCTTCAGCCTAGTTGTGGAGGACATCACTTCACTGGCCCATGTTGATATTATCATTGTGCTCTTCCCGGGTGAGGCAGATCAGTC